TATTTTTTCCCCATTCCCCTGCCCTCCCTTCAACCCCTCCATCCCTCCCTATTTACAAAGACTTTGTTTCCATTTTTTCATTTTCTCATATTAATTCTATTACCTAGTTTCTAGTTTTAGTTTTTTTAGAAGTCTCCATACTGATTTCCATAGTAGTTGTACTAGTTCACATTCCACCAGCAATGTAGAAGCATTTTTTTTTCCTCACAGCCTGGCCAGCATTTGTTATTCTTTGATTTCTCAATGATGGATATTCTATCTGGGTTAAGATGGAATCTTAGTGGTGTTTTATTTGCATTTCCCTAGTATCCAGCAATGTTGACCATTTCTTCATGTACTTATTGCCCACTTGTACTTCTTCTTCTGTAAAATGTCTATTCATTTCACTTGCTCATTGTTTGATTTGGTCTTTTATTTTAGGGGGCCTAATTTTTTCATTTCTTTATACCAGTCTAGATATTAGTCCTCTGTCTGAAGAATAGCTGGCAAAATTTTTTCCCATTCTCTCAGTTTTCTTTTCCACTTTGTTGGTTGTTGTTTTGGCTGTGCTGAAGCTTTTTAATTTGATATGATCACCTTTGTTGGTTCTTGGTACTATTTTCTGTACTATGGGGATTCTGTTCAGAAAGTCCTTGCCTACACCTACAACTTCTTTTATCTTCCAGCAGGTTAAGTATTTCTGTTTTAACATTTAGTTCTGTGATCCGTTTTGATTTTAATATAGTATATGGCGAGAGATAAGGGTCTACACTCAATCTTCTGCATGTAGACAGCCAGTTTTCCCTACACCACTTGCTAAAGAGGCTAGCTTTCTTCCACCATATGCTTGTAGCTCTCTTGCCAAAGACCAAATAGTTACATATGCTTGGGGCGGTTTCTGCATTCCCTCTTCTGTCCCAGTGATCCTCATATCCGCTCCTGTGCCAGTTTCATGCTGTTTTTTACTTCTTTTTTTTTTTTTTAAACAACTGTAGCTTTGTAATGTAACTTCAAGTCTGGGATTGTGATGACTTCTGATGCTCTTTTCGCTCAGTATTGCTTTTGCTATTCTGGGTCTCTTTGGTCCCTTAAGAACTTTAGAATTGTTTTCTCTAGTTCTGCAAAGCATGTACTGATATTTGGTTTGGGATTTCATTAAATCTATATATCAATTTTGAAAGCATGGCCAATTTTATTAAAAATCAATATTTAAGAACTATAGCTATCCTGTGTTTGAAGGAAACCCAGGGGCATACATTCCCAAATGAGACATTGAACCAACTTCACCAGTCACTTATCTTCGGATATCTTGCTATGCAAAAAGAAACAGAAAACCCCAACTTAAATTATAAATAATTGTGGCAAGAAGTGTTCTTGATTGATACACAGCCAAAATACAAAAGGAATCATAGCCAATTACAATATTCCCACTGCCAACAAGAATCAAAATGTTCTAGTTGCTCAAATGAAATTCGACTTCAGTCCTGAGGCCAAAGAGAAACTACTCTCCTAGATTTCTACAAAGGAGACAGTGCCTGCTACAGTGAGCAATACTTTCAACAATATTCCTACAGGAGGCACAAAGAGAATGTTTCATAAATCTCTCCATTGTATGTCAATCCAAAATACCTAAGCACAGTCCAGTAAAATTGATTCTGGGGAATAAGATGCAAATGGCAGGGGATCTAATTTAAACCAAGGCTAAAACTTAGGCTATCTGGATGATGAAGTGCTGCATAAAATGAAAAGTAAAAATTTAAAATAAAATCTAAATTTTGGTTAATTTATTAGCATGAACTTTTATAATTTGGGTTGCCAATATTTTCTGACTTCCAATGTAATTAGGTACATGTAATTTATTCATATTTATCCAATGTTTACCAAGAAGTACATAATTGACTCACTTCCCTTAGCTTCATCATTGAAGTATAAATTAATTTCAATTTCAACTTGTTCCAGTTGTACTTTATTTTTGATTTGCATCCCCAGTTACCTTCTCGGGCTATATACGCTGATGAAGACGGTGCTTTAACAGTGTTTTAACACATTGCTGCCTTTTAAAGAAGAGCAACGGTTACCTCAGAAGATCTTGGAACTGCTCCTGGACAGTCCATGGCGAGTGGCCATGAATGGGGAAATGTCAAGTCCTGCAATGCCCATTCAGGAGAGAGAAGGTGGGTTAGAGGCTGGTCATTAGGACTCACTGAGTCACAAAACCATTGCCTTCCACAGTAATGTGAGTGCTCTGCGCTGACATGGATCGGCGTAATCCATATCAGACTCACAGTTCTCAGAATCTCTGTATCTGCCTACACTAAATACTTGATGTTACCCCGAATACAGCAGGGTGTACTTCCTTGAGATTCTTTGGATCAGCCTCTTTAATTATCCTCCTCTTCACCTCAGATTTTCTCTGGATCAAGGCACATATTTCGCTCTGTTAGTCCTGTCTCAGAGGAAGAATTACTTTGTCTTTATGTAAAATCATTATTACACTTGTTATCTCGGCGCCTTTCATCCTTCCATCCCCTGAAACTTTGCTGCATCAATCTTCCCTATCCCTTCATCCTCGATCCATCATTTTCTTCTTGTTTCTTCTCTTCTGGTTACAAGCATGTTTATATATTTCCCATCCTAAAACAAATCCCTCCTTTGATCCTGCCTCAGCACTAAGCTACTGTCTCATCTCCTCCCTTTAACGGGGAACTTCTAAAAATAATAGGCTTGGCTCAAAGACTTCACTTCATAACAGTCTCTACTCTGTTTACTTTTACTAGTTTACTTTCCACTGCTTTGAAAACAGTTTGCACTATACTGTATCTTGCTTTTTAGAATGACTTCAATAAAGTAATTATCCAAGTCAATTGCTTTTTGCAGTGTTATCTGCCTCTTGACACCATCTGATCCTGCAGATCGCTCTACCTTGGTGTCAATGTCAACATTCTACTTTTCTGGTTCAGACTGTAGCTCCTACATTCCTGACTAATTTTATCAGCTTTCCACTCAGGGAAACTTACTGTTTTCTCACCTTCTGGTACATACACAAATACACAAAAAATACACAAAAAATACACAACTGTGTGCCAAAGCTGCCCACTGAAAAATGATATTATATTCACTTGTCTCCTCAGCTGAAAATGACTAGAGCCACACCTGTCAGGCTAAGATAGTAAAGTAAGGGGTGATCAGGACAGGGAGGTTTAGCTCCCCTTTAAATATAAGGAGCTCAGTCCTCCAACTCCATTCCTGAGCCCCTTTTCGTGTCACTGTTGTGATTGAATTGATCTTAACTTCTTATAGATTACATAAACACCTATTCACATTTATCCCTGATTTCTCATTCAGATGCAGACCAGGATATATTTAATTGCCTATTACAGCGCCTATCCTGACAACCCCTCCATTGCTTCATATCCAAAGCTAAGCTTAGCCCCTGCACCCAAAACACTCAGGCCCTGACACAATGTCTTGTGAAGTAATAGAATAAACGTCTCTTCATTTCATATCTCTCTAGATATACATATATATGTTTCAAAATTATATACCATGTTAATAAACTAATTTTAAAGAATATTTGTATTAGAAAGCTGTGTCAAGTGGTTTGCAATTTTTCAAGCATGGGGAGATTTTACCAGTTGGCTACACTAAGTGATAAGGGCCTAAGGCATTTGGGGTTCATTCCATTATTTATCAAATAAACAATATTCAGACCCCTTAATACCACAATTGTTCCTCACTGATCAAACTATATCATGTTAATTTTTTTTTCAGAATATGTCTCCAGGATTGTCAAAATGATTTCAGGAGTGTCTTGTAACCTTGCAAGTTTTGTAGACATAGCTAAACCTAATCACCATTTCAACCTGCCATGTGGCTATTTGCTTCATTTTCAAGGAATAACCAGAGAGTCATGGGCCTTCTAATTGTGTGTGTGTGTGTGTGTGTGTGTGTGTGTGTGTGTGTATGAAAGAAAGAGAAAATGGTGGAAGAGCAGGGAAGAAATTTGCTTCTTGTATGTTACCTGCCCCACAATGTACTCCATTATTGCATACAATCTTTAAAAATGGATCTATTGTTTTGTGAAACAAATTTGGGAGTAGAAACAATTTTTCTTTTAGCTATGTAGATGCTCTGCTATCAGACAAGAGATAAACAAACACTTAAACATTAAATAAGAAACATGGGCCAAATTCAGGTCTCACGATTTATTTATCATCCTATGGAAACTTTAAGACTTATTACAGATGTACATATTTATGAAGCTAAATAATGGCATATTATTATTTCTTAACCCACAGGCCTCTTGATTTTATGTGTACAGAAAATTCCAAAAGCAGAGTGATCTGCAGTAAAAATTACTATAATTTTCAGAGGAAACATTTTTCACTTGCATTTGTCTTCTTGTATGATGTGTGAAAGAGAAGGATTCTAGTGTCATTGAGATTTATCTGCAGTTATAAAGTTAAAAATGAGTGTAAGACTTAGTTTGGAATTGAACATTACTCAGTTCTTTGCTGTTTGTTTTCTTAAAGAGTTTTGTAACTTGGAGTGGTTTGCTAAGTCACCAATGAAGGCGACAAAAGCCATGTAAAGAATGGAGTCCAAGTTTATGCAGCCGAAATCTGGTCTTGACTCAATGACTCAGGGGTGAGATAAAAGTAGAACTGATTTGTCATACTCACCATCCACAACAGAAGAGCATTTAACATTGTTGAGCTTTTCTGTGTGCCTAGAACTATTCAAAGTACTCTACATGTACATTAATTTATTATTGTCTCAGCCCATCAAGATGGATAATGCTGTTATACCTCTTATTTATAGGAGAAAACTTGGACACAGAAAAGTTTCATCCCTTGCAAATAGTGGAGCCAGATTTTAAATTGAGGCAAAGGATTTCCACACTCAACATTTGCTGTTATGTCTTTTTGCCAAACAAGTAGAAGCATTTTAACTTATTATATTTTACTTACATATATTTAGTTGATCCATTAATTCCCTCTTATTCCCTCTTATTTTTATAATTCTGTATAAAACTTCAGCAATTCTGTGTTCACTACCTGAAAGGTTGAAAGTTTGGGAAGCCAATTTTTTTTTGGTATCGGGGATCGAACTCAGGTCCTTGCACTTGCAAGGCAGGTGGCGGAACCACTGAGCTAAATCCCTGGCCCATCAGGAAGCCAGTATTTTGGGTTTGCTGTAAACTTCCCATTCTGCAAAGCTTTTCAGGGAAAACCTCTCTGATTTCTAGAAATTGCCTCAATTATGTCAATACATAGATCTTTAACTGGAGCAATAATCTTGTAACATGACTCATTCTGCACTCCGGTTTATTCCTGGGATGGGTGCACACAGGCTATTTCAAATAATCCCTGTTTGGGGAATTTGGGAATTGAAATTTTCCAGGGTTCTGCAATCATGACACACAAAACATGGGTGCTTCATGAAAAGTTCACTCCACTCAGGGAGCAGTATAAGGAGAGGAAATATATTCACTGGTGCAAAGGACCGTAATATTGATTATGCTCAAAGTAGGCTGCAAGCAGTACAGGCTGTAAGGAGTTAACCCCACAATTGGCTTGTTTATAGAAGTGAGTCTGGCCTAAGTCTACATGCTGAGGTCAGAGCAACTCACACCCAAATTCCATTCCCACAATTAAGACCTTCTAACTAGAAGGACAATGTACTAATTACAACCATATATTTTGTCTGTTCTGTTCCTAATTACAGAATTCTTTGTCTAATCTTTTACAAGGCTGGTTTACATTAATTTCCATAGAAACCTCACAACTGTGCATTGTTACACATAGTTCTCCCCTTGCACCTAGTTTGCCTTTATCCGGGTTGATTGCCAGTAAAAATCAGTGGCTTAGACTGGCCAGCACCTTTGTCAGTTGCACTGGCATTGGTCATTCTGGCCCCTGCTTTCTGCCTTTCTTAGTTCTGTCTTAGTTTTTTACTCAGGCCTGCATCATACACTGGGCAGGAGACTGGAGCCTACTGCAGAGGTTTCCAGTAATGTTTTGGGAGTCCCCAGTAATTGGGAAAAGCCAAAACAAAAGACAGTAAAAGGTGCTGGAGTTTGAATGTGGACTCCAGGACCAGGTATTTAGCTCAGTGGCACCATGCCTTGCAAATACAAGGTCCTGAGTTCGATCCCAGGAAAACAAAAACAAAAACATAAAAACCTGACTACTGAATGTGTACTCCAAAGTCCGTGTGTTAGAAACTTATTCTCCAGTGCACACTACTGAGATGTGGGATCTTTAAAGGATAATTAGGTCTTTAGGACTCTGCTCACATGAGTGGGTTAATGGTGGAGTGGATTCCTGACAAAGGGATGAGATGGGGCCCCTTCATTTCTGGTGTGCACACATGCATGCTCTCTCACCATGTGATGCTTCTGTCATCTTATGACACAGCACGAAGGCCCTCTCCAAGTGTAGAACCTTGATCTTGGGCTTTACATCTCTAGAACTATGAGCCAAATAGGTTTTTGTTCATGACAAATTTCCCAGTCTCTGATATTCTGTTGTAGTGTAAACCAAGCATGAAGGTTTCTCAAATTTTCTACAAGGACTCCATCCCTTTGTTCTGTGCCCAAAATCTAGACTTTGTGCCCTTTGGTGTCCTTACACACTTTGGTGCCTCTGTGCCCTTTGGGATATCATTTCTCTTTCGCCTCCACCTGGTTCCAGCTGTGCTTCTGTTATTTGGAATCATAATAGTTCTAACCAGTTCAGAGAAATATACCATTGTATTTAGAAAAGATATGTATATTTGCTGTATTTATTGCATCCATTAAATATACTTGGAAAGCAAGTTTTAGATTCCTGCTAAAGCATTTGTCAAACTTTTTCCCAGGTACATCAATCTCTGAAAGTTAACTTTCTGAAGGTAAAAATGAAAAAGAATAGCTTGATTTTACATTAATAGAGCAGAATCATTTATAGTTCTGCTCCCCTGAGGGCAGATGGCAGGGGGTTTTTATGTTTATTATCTAAGGTCATGAAATAAAGCATCTAGCATGTCAGAAGAATGAGCCATGCACAACTTTTCTTTTTGACCTTTTACATTTCTAGCTCCTGGTTTCAAATGTACCTGATGTGGCACCCTTCCAAACAGGATGTGGCCACTTAGCATCCAGAGGCTCTAGGACATTGGATGTGAGCCAGGCTTATATGTGGTCAGAGTAAAAAAAATCTTGAAGATGAGTGAAAGGCTCTGCCCATCTGGAAATCTGTCTCTCAGATGCCTTCCTGAGAAAGTGCTTTAATGAGAAAAAGTGGATAAGAAAACCCCAAACCAGTATATCACTGGCCAACTGTTCTGATCAAACACCAAGGCAGGAGTAGTTAGTGAAAGACATAGAATGGAAACACTATCTCTCAAATGAATAGAATTCACATGGTACATTGACTGGGTGGTAAAAAATTTAAGTCAGAACCAATTATGTGGTGTAAGTATAGCTACTTGGACCACTGTCAAGTTATTATCACAATTCAGGTAGCTGAGATATAGTAATAGTTTTTAATTTGGTGAGAGTATTTACTCTAGAAAAGCTAATGAGTGTCCACAGTTTTGGAGGAAAAAAGATTAGAAAAACTTACCAGGGTAATCTGAATTAGTGTTCAAAAAAAAATCACTCCAGTTATAATTTGGCCAAACAGCAAATGGTTCTCTTAAATATTTGAGAAAAATTGTTTGCTACTTAATTTTATAAATCCTGCCTATCTTTCATGGGGATTCTTGTAGTCATTTCCATAACTGGTAATTGATACAGATTCAGTATTCTACTGAGTACTGGCCATCATGTATAGGAAAAGGAGTAGATCTATGGAATCAGTCATTTTGTTGCAAAACCTATTTGGCCCCTTATTTATTTGGGCCATGAACAGGTAACATAAGATTTATCTTCTCATTCCTGTGACAACACCAAATTTATATCTTCATCACCAAGTCCTTTGATTGAGGTTTCAGAAGTGTCAATGTGTTGAGAAGGCCTAAAATCCCACTGTGCATAGCAAGGGTTCTCCAGGGTTCCTATGGACCAGAGAAAGGGATAAAGGTTTTCATATGTTGAAGGAGTACTGTTGTGATTTAGGTCAAAAATGTTTCCCCAGAAGTCTCATGTGTTAGGAATGTGAATGGGTCATGGAGGCACAATACTCATCCATGGATTTATCCACTAATAAGCTCAGCAGTTAAGGGTACTTTTAGGAGGTGAAGCCCGGTTATAGGTGGGTTACTAGTGGCATGACCTGGAAAGATATATTTATATCCCTGGCTCCTTCTCTGTTTTTCTGCTTCCAGGATTCTGCCATGGATTAAACAGCTTTCTTCTGCCATACGCTTTCACTATGCCATTTCTGCTGAATTAGCCAACCATGGACAGAGTTCTCTGGAAACTGGGAGTCAAAATAAACCTCCTTTGAGTTGTAGATGTCCCGTAGTGTATCTAGTGACTAATACAAATAACAGCAGCACCTTACTCAAATTGAGTCTATAGGAGACAGAGAAACAAAAGCAGCCAGAACCTGGAGGTGAAGGCCAAATTCCCAAGGCTGTAAAGGAGATCTAACAGACTCCAGAAATGGTTTTCAGAGGGTCCATAGACTCGAGGACAGACGGCCCAGCAGGACACACTGAAGAGAATAAAAGACCCCCAAGAGAACCAGCTGCCCACTGGCCCAGCACCTGGTTCACAACAACTGGTTCAAGCCAGACCTATGCACATGCTTAGTGCTCCTCTCTCCAACTGCACTGTGAGACGCCACAAGACATGGGTGTTAAGCCAATGGATGGAGGGAAATGAAAGTAGAAAAAGTGAAAAGTTATCCCAAGCACATTTTCCATTGAAAATTTTCAGAAAAATCAAGAGACCTGTGAGAAATAAGAATAAATTTTATGAAGCAGCAACAGGAGAAACCTCCTTCTCACAGAAGTTTAAATACATCCTAAGTTTTTCTTGTTTCTTCCCTTGGCAGAATAACTGAGAAATTGTTATTTTTCAGGTGATATAATGACAGATCCAACAGATACAGTAGATTCCATGCTCTTGTGCGTGATGAGCAAAGAATTGGACGCATTCATCCAGAAGCAGAAGAAAAACAACTACATCTTTTGAAGATGACGGGGAGAAGTGAGCAGTGTGGTCTGCATGAACAGAAAAATGGGGCCAGGACAACGGGGAAGTCAAAAGCACTACAGGTGCTGTGCTAAATGCTTTGCACATAGTGTCTCACTGTATCTTAATTCTCAGAACAGTTCAGTACTTGTGCCCAGGGTTACAAGCAGTAAAAAAAAAAAAAAAAAAAAAAAAAAAATAGAAGGGGAAGGCTGCTGGGATAATAACCAGTTCAGTCTGATTCAAAGCCTATGTTCTTAACTACTGTGACTTTAACCACTACCACATATCACTGGTACTAATAAACTATGTATTCTTAATTCATAATTTAGTAGAGATTCGATATTTGTTTTCAGTTCTTTGTATGTTACAGATAGAAGTCCTTTATCTGAGGGACTACTGGCTAGAAGTTTTTCCCACTCTGTGGGTTGTCTCTTCACTCTATTGATGATTTCTTGTGCGATGCAAAAGCTTTTTAATAGGATGAAATCCCAGTTGTTGATTCTGTGCATTATTTCTCATGCAGTCTGCGTTTTGTTCATGAAATTTTTGCCTACCCCTATGTCCTCAAGGGTTCTCCCTATTCTTTCATCCAGCAGATTTAGTGTTTCTGTTTTAATATTTAGATCTTTGATCCACTTTGATTTTAGTTTAGTGCATGGTGAAAGATAGGGGTCTAGTTTCAATCTTAAGCATCTGGAAAGCCAGTTTTTCCAGCACCACTTATAAAAGAGGCTATCATTCCAGTAAAGGTGTTTAGCCCCTTTGTCAAAGATAAGCTGAGTGTACTGGGGGTTACTTCTGTATCTTCAAGTCTGTTCTATTGATCTTCAGGTCTGTTCTTTTGCCAGTACCATGCTTTTTTTTTTTTTCTTAAATTCTTTTATTGGTACCTTTTAGGTATACAGTACGTTTACATTTATCATTGGGTGCTTGTTCCTATACATGATGTATCTTGGTTTTAATTTTTTTCCCCATTACCTGTGCGCTCTTCACCCCCTCCACCCTTCCCTATTTACATAGCCTTCTTTTCCATTTTTTTCCTTTTCTCATATTTTTTCTTTTCCCTTCTTTCCTTTCCCCTACCCCTCCCGCTTTTCCTGCTCCCTAGACCTTTTCTTCCTATTACACAATATCAATTATACATTTTGATCCTTATTTACACTTTTAGTTTTTCACACCAGAGAAACTATTTGATATTTACACGTGTGTCCTATTTATTTCATGCAAGAGTATGGCCTCAATATGCATCCATTTAGCTATAAATGTCTGTAGTTTCTTGTTCTTTATGGCTGAGTAGTAACCCATTTTATTAAAAAACCCACATCTTTCTTATCCAGTTACCAGTTGATGGGCACCTGGGCTATTCCCAAGCTGTAGCTATTACAAACTGTGCTACTATAAACATGGGTGCACATATATCACTGTGGTATGATTCTTTCAATTCTTTTGGAAAGATACCCAGTAGGGGAATAGCTTTTTATCACAGTAGCTTTGTAGTATAATTTCAAGTCAGGGATTGTGATGCCCCTTGCTTTGACTTTGTTGCCCAGAATTGCCTTTGCTATTCTGGGTCTCTTCTAATTCCAAGGGAATTTTAGCATTGTTTTCTCTAATTCTGTGAGATATGCTGTTGGAATTTTGATTGAAATTGCATTAAATCTGTATAATAATTTTTTTTGTTAAATTCTTTTATTGATACATTTTAGGTATACAACACAATTACATTTCTCATTGGGAATTGTACCTTTACATAATGCATCTTGGTTCTTAT